ACGGTGGCAATTTTGTAATTATTGAAAAGTCTCGTGGTAATTTTGTGATTATGAATGTTGAGATTGTAAATCTAATCCAAGGATTGAGAATTGGTCTTACGGGTCTCACGAAAAAATTTTGGTCTCATATGATCCCAAATCTCTCTCTCTATATATATATTCATTTAAATTTTAATAATAGTATTATTATAATATGATTTTTTGAGTAAATACAATAATTTTTGGTCAGCAAAATATAATATATTACTCGTAGAACAACAAATTTGACAATGATGTAAACTAGGGTTCTTGGACACCACAATATTTATCACATTTTTAAATTAAAAAAAAAAAAGCATCAATAATTGTGGTTTATATAACTTGTCTAGAACAACTCTATGAATCTCTATTTCCAATTTCCATTGATAAACCAAATTATTAATTCCAGTAACGTTCCAATATTTTTGGAGGTTTTGTTATATTTAAAACTTTTGATTACATTGTATAAATGAGATAACAGTAAATATACGTTATGAACAAAAATAGGCTAAATGTAAAACGATTAACAATCTGAAACTAAACTTAAACCCATTAATGATTTGAACGTAAAACCAAACAATTAATGATTTGAACCTAAATAATTTCGCCATAGTTTTATACAGGTTGATAAAAGTGGGCCTTAAAATTTCGAAGGCTTCGTTCAAAATCTCACATTTAACATGCTAAAGTACACCCCTCGTTAATTCAAAGACTTCTAGTCGGCTGGTACTCGTTCATCTAAACAATCACCAGTTTTGGTCATATCATATATATATTGGATCAATGGGTTTGCTATTGTCAATGACTCCATAACCATTTGGCCTTCGTTTCTCTCTCTAACTCGTGTGAAATACATTGAAAGATCTTGGTTTCATCTGTTTCAATTAAAGGTTTATGCATCAAGAAAGGGTATATGGAGCAGTATTTTGATGAAACTGAGACTGGAAACAGCTTTAATGGAGATGATGGAGCCTGGAAATCTACTGCTAAATCTGTCAATAAACCGGAGAGAAGTTTTTCCGGCGGCTTTGACTGCAACATCTGTCTAGATTCCGTCCAAGATCCGGTGGTGACACTTTGTGGCCACCTCTACTGTTGGCCTTGTATTTACAAATGGATTCATCATCAAAACACTTCTTCATCTGATCAAACCCTAGAAAAGAAAACTCCACAGTGTCCCGTATGCAAGACTGAAGTCGCCCCAAAAACGATGGTCCCATTGTATGGTCGTGGCCAGCAGGCTATCAATCCTGGTACTGAAGAAAAGTCTCCAGGTTTAGAAGAATTGGCGATCCCACGGAGGCCTCCTGCGCCAAGATACGGAGTCCTAGACGCAGAAGCTGGTTCACAGCTTAGTCGTCGTCGGTTTCACCAACGAGCACCGCCACCTCTAGCTATGCCCGTGCCTGATCTAACCACCATGGTGATGAGTCCTAGTCCCACCATCAATATGCTCGGAGAAATGGTTTCCGGGAGGATTTTGGGAGACTTGGAAACTCCGTTGTTTGCTAGTCCCAATTCGTATAATCTAGCCGGGTTGAGTACTCGACGAGCGAGAAGGGAGGCAACACAGGCTGATCGGTCGCTTAGCCGAATATACACTTTCTTGTTTTGTTGCATAATATTTTGTCTTCTCTTGTTTACATGAAAACCCCCTTTTTGTTGCTCTTCTTCTTAAAGCCCCCACTCTTTCACCTTCCATTTTTGGTCCCAGAATTGGTGCATGGATGATCTGACGTTATTGGTCAGATTTTTTTAACTGTGGATGTGCGTATCAGTTTGTATGCCACGTGGTATTTTTTTTGTGGGGGGTTGTGAGGCATGAGCATAGCCTTCCAAGATGTGATTTTAATCCTATTTTTCAGAAAGGTGTTGCTTAATTAATGTACACTTTTTAGTGTTAACATCCTATTTTCAAATAGGTAGTGCTTAATGAACACTTCTTTTATGTTACTTTATTGTTTTTTTTTTAAATATAAACCACCATTTTGATGGTGATGTGTGTATGTGAAAAACAGTACTTTTTAAGGTAAGGTAATAATATTAAGGAAAAAAAGGAATGTACAAAAACATAAAAGCTACGAATTTTGGAAGGAGGAGAAAACAAGCGAACACCCGACAAAAGGAAAACAAAAACGTAAAGAATAAACCCACGACTAGACTAAACCGGATGTAATGAAAACGAAACACGACTAACCGAACAACAACGAAACGAATCAGTGCTTAACGACCACATTCACCAAAAATCACCAACGTGTTGACGGTCATTGTAACATCCAAAATTTAGCCATCTTGATGAGGTTAGAATCTATCTGTACTTTCTTTTCCCAAGGTAATAAATTTGTTTTTCCTTGAGCAACTTAGGTATGAGATGCTTGGTGATGCTTTAAACTGAAGTAAATGTGTTCTAGGATGAGAAACAAAGTGAAATATGGGTTTCATATTGTTAATTGAATATAAAAATAAATCTTGAATGTGATATTTAATATTTATTTTTTATTGCATCAATTAATTTTTTTTTCTATTAAATTGATTTTTTTGCATTAGTAAAAAATATTTTTTATTGTGGTAATTTGTATTTTTTTTAATGTTCAATTTGATATCTGAATTAAAAAACAAGATTTAAAATGAAAAATAGATTTTATTGCATTAATTTTTGGAAAAAAAAACGAATTTTAGTTATTTTTCTATAATTATTTTGCAAGTTGGTTCCCCAAAATGAAGATTTTGAAAGTTGGTTCCCTAAAATAGGAATCAGGTGCAAGTTGGTTCCCTAAAATGACGATTTTGAAAGTTGATTCCCCAAAATAGGAATTAAGTGATAGTTGGTTCCATTTTGGTGCAATTTTCCCTTTCAAGAATGTGAATGTTTGGTGATTTATTGTACAAATGAATATTTTTGATATAAATGTATTGTTGATCAAAACTCTCTCAATGATTTGATGATGATCTCTTATATTTAGCGAAAAATACTTAGTTCTATTTTTGTTCAGTTTCAATAATAATCACTGAGTCTGTTCAGTGATCGCTAAACATGTACTGTAAACTTTTCTAAAGAACAAATATTCTTCAAGAAAACAAAACTCACACCAAAGGAACCTTCAACAATGTCGAAGATATAACTGAAGATAAAGACAAGCAGTTCGTGATCTGAAACGTATTCAATGATAATAAACGTGTCTACATCAAGTGTGAAATCTAATCAAGATTCAACGAACACTGAAGAAACTCTAGAGTTAAAGCCAGTGTCAACGATCAAGTGAATCTTGTTATACAAGATTTGTTTTTGTCTTATCCTCCTGCACATAAAGGACAACCCTATACCTCACATAGTAAAACACATGTACGGAGTCACTCTATTGTCTCCAAGCGTGCTTACCTACTTTGTGAAAGACTACTGTTCATATATGGCGAAAAACTTGTATATTTGAAGACAGAAGACAAACTTTCCACTAGAACTTTGCCACGTGTTTTGTATCCTCTGACTTGCTTAAATGAAATGGATATAAATAGCTGAGAAGACTCTCTTCTCAAATGCGAAACTGAGCTTACTCAAGCAAAGAATAACACATTCTTAAGCAAGCACTTTCTCTCTTGCTCTTCTGTGTAACTTGTGTGCTTCCTAGATTGTTTATAAGTTCTTAATCTTATCTTCTTCCATAAACAATCTGTAAATTATGTATTTATCTTCTCTTATCAATACAGGATTTTAAAAAGTGAGAACTATGTGTTTGTATTCATCCCCCCCCCCCCTTTCTACAAACTGTTACCTATAAACTCTTGTAGATACGTCTGGGACCAACAAGTGGTATTAGAGCAGTGTTTATTATCTTTTTTCTAAAAGATAATTTACTTACCATTTTCTTTAAATGGCTTTGCAAAACACAAACATAAACTTTCACCGACAATACCTCTCTTGCCAAACCTCCCCAATTCGTTAGAGACATCTACAAAATTAAGTTCAGTTTTAGTAACTTTAAAATATTAAATTAAATAATTAACCTTTCAAAAATATTTTAGTTTAAGCTAACATCCATATTTCACCTATTTCCATAAATGGTTAATATGTTGTCTATGAAAATAGCTTATTTAGGTAGGCATCATCTATAATACTCATGTTCCGTTAACTCGTACAAATTGTGTTAAGTGAACTTTGGGGTAGGATTGTGCATAACATATTTGTACCATATGCTTAACCAACTTGCACCTTGGACTATATTTGTGACAAAAGTTAAGTTTATAATTATGCTTGGACTATATTTGTGACAAAAGTTAAGTTTATACTTATGAGAGCATAAAGTTGAGAATCTAAATTTGAAGGGTTAAAACCGTCAAATGATTAAACTTTATACATATATATATATATATATATATATATATAATATGTATATATACATATCATGAGACTAAGTTACGGTTCATCACCGCCTCAATTTCTCTCGTCACTCTCTCTCAAAAACTTTATATTCTCTCTAAAAAAAATTCCTAAGGAAATCGAGGTAACAATTATATATTCGGAATCTACTTTTCGAACCCTTCTTAAATGTATAAACTTCTTTCGTTTTTGTTATGGTGTTTATGTTAGGATATTTGAGATTGCTTTGTAATTGCATATATGATTAGCATATGAATTATTATTTACAATTTATGGTTAAATACATGTTTTGGAATGATTGAATTAGTTAAAATGGTGTATAAAGAACAGAGATAAATTATGGATTCAATATAGTTAGATTGAGTATATAAGATTAACCGCACACTAATTGTTCGGTTAAATATCTAAAAAAGCAAAATTGGATGATCAAGCTTAGGATTATAATCATTAAGCTTATTTGTGGTGTTTAGTATGTTATGGTATGTTTAGAATATTTAAATGTTGCAAATCATTGAAGTTGGGATCCTAAAAGTGAGTTGGGAAATTATGGAAATCAGAATTTCAGACAGCTTCAAGTCCAGTAGTTTAACAGTGCATAACTCTCAAATCGTAAGCCAAATTAAGCTCATATTTTGCAGGTAGAAATCTCTTACTATATACTAGAACTGTTATGAAGGGTCTAAAATCCATTTGTGTATCTAAGTTACTCAAAGCAGTGTGTTTTTAAGGTTGTTCACTGTGTATTCGGGATCAAAGCTGTTGTTTTATAAAATTCATATGACATAGACGGATGATCCAAATAAGATAATTCCAAAACTAATAGACTCGCATGATACTAAAATACAACTTTCATTCAGATAATATAATCTGGATTGGTCTTTGAGTAGGGTAAAAATTCTTAAAAAGAAGAGGCACAGAAGTTGTTGGATCGAAAGTGAGTAAGGCTAAGTTTTACGTTTGAGTTTTCAATTCGTATCTGGTTGTCCTTCTTGAAGTCTACGTTGTTTAAGTACATTAAGACCTAAGTAATTTTATTAGAATAATTATGTTATGGTTTTTATTTCTTGCAAATAATAATAAGTCGTTTATGCATTCGTTAGGCACGCAGACAAGTCAAACTTAGCGTGTTTGGGATAAGGATCGATGGGCTGGCTGGCTGTGACAAAAAAAAAAAAAAGAAACGACGGAGACTTAGCGTGTTTGGGATTGCTTATTTAAACTGCTTATTGACTTATTACGATGTGGTACCAGTAATAAGTCGTTTTTAGTGTTTGGATTGGGCAAAAGAAAAAAAAATGTTTATACAGGTTCCAAACCGGTGATAAGGAGTTTTTGATAAGTTACTCTCTTCTAACTTATCAAATTCAACTTATTAGCTTTGGAAACCAAATTATCTTTTTAACCCTAAACCAGTTCCTCCTTTCTCCTTCCTCCTTCCTCACGAACACAATTCACGACCTTCAATACAAGAAATCAAAATCGTACACAGAAATAGACCTTCATGTACATCAATCAGAATCGACCTTCAAGACAAGAAAGACCTTCACCTATAGAAATCGAAATCAAAATCGAGATCGACCTTCACTTACAAAAATCGAAATCAAAGTGGAAATCAAGATCGACCTACACAAATCAAAATCAACCTACAAAAACTGAAATCATAGATGCAAGGAACCATAGTGTAATGAGAGAATGAAATCAAAATCTTAGAGAAGGGAGGAATGGTCTGCCACCGACTTGGGTCATCACCGGTGGCAGAAGAAGAAGAAAGAATTTGCGATATAGGAGATGAACAGTGGGGATGAGAGGAATGGTTTCAATTATGCTACGTATGTTAATTGATTGGGAATACAAAAGAATTTCCTTTTGGTCATTTCACATGTATAAGAAAAATTTGTCAAACACTAAAAAATAATTTATCAGTTTATTACGTTTTGGTACCGTCATAATCTAATCCAAACACTTTTTTTAAAACTCCGGTTTGACACCACGTAAGTGGATAAGCACTTAAAAAAAACATAAGTTGTTTTAAATAAGCAATCCCAAACACCCCATCATATACTAAATAACAGAAAAAGTGTATTATTTCCTCTCTTTTAAATAGGAAGGGTCCTTTTCTTTTAACTGATTAATTTTTTTATTTGTTAATTACCATATAAACTTTGTTCCCTTTTTTTCAATTAAATGTTCAAACTGGCTCTGATACTATTGTTTGGGTTTTAATATACTTTGTAACTGTAAACACAATGGAAAAATAAAAACTTTTGGTTACAACTAATAGAAAACTTTTCTAAAACAAAACCCATCGCCGGATCCAGTGAGACATTTAATTAAAATCACACATCATAAGGTGATCAGAATTGTACCTTTATAGATCAGATGGGAATTTTGTCAGAGCACCAAGAAACCAACGGAGGTTTCCTCTATGGTAGTCCACAACGAACACACTTCCTCCTTCCACCAAGTGCTAGCCCAAGAACCCTAGATCTATATGTGTTTTATAAAAAAAGCTGTCTTTTCTATATTTTTCTGAGAGGCTAAATCTAATTGTTTCAATCAATCGAAAGTGGTTTAGTCTAGCCGCTTATTTATACTAACTGAATTATAGATAGACTATAACTCAAATAAGGTTTAGTGATTATTTGTAATATGTATATAATTATTTTAAAATTTAATATAATTATATATATTTGCAGATAACACCCTGTAATTATCATAGTTATGTTTCAACAAATATATTCATAATTATCCTCCAAGAAAAATTACATCCACAATCAACTTGATCTAATCTGGGTTTCTACAAATGGAAGAAAACATATTATTTGTGTGCAACCCTATAGGTTTACTCCCAGCAATATCTCTGTGTGACACGTGTCGTGAACATATAATAACTTACAGTTATGTAATCCGAAAGAAAATAAATGAATGAAAGAAAAGATAAGAAAAGAAAAAGAGCCTTATTAGAAAAAGAAAATATCAAAAAGAGAAAAGACAAAAACAATCAAAAAGTGGATCACTGAATTTATAAGTTCGATCTTTGTTTCACTTATGAGTTTTGGTACCATTTTTAGTGTTTCTTTCACAGTTGTCTATTTGTATTATTAACAAATAGAGGAAGATTGTTGGTCTCAACCATCGGATTTGTAAAATAATACATTTCACATCTGATTTAACACTTAGAAAGAAGTTGTCTTGTAATGATCATATCTGATATGCTTCATCTATCAGATATGACACATGAAATATGATATAACTGTCGGATTTATCACACAAACCGATGAGTTTATCAATCAGATTTATTTCTCAAAAGTCTATTGTACCTCAACTTGAAATGACATATGATGTTCAAAGTACTAGGATCACAATCACCATCGGATCTTTGGCTAAAAACAAACTGTGAAAATCGAGATAAAATTTGACTCTCCATCTGATTTAGAAAATCCTATTCCATCTTAAATTTAAAGGAGTCGCATTTAATTTTAAGAATATGATGGAATTGCTTCATAAAAAACTTCAAGAACTTCAAATTTCTTCAATCTCTGCTTCAAATCTTCATGAAATCTTGGATTTCTGCTCTGATGCCAGTTGTTAAACCCTATTTCAATCAGATAACAATGAATTAAACAATCAAAAACTACAATCTAAAGATCAAATCACCATGTTTTCTCTCTCTAACTTCTCTCTCTAGAATGTATTACAATATGAGTTTTTTACTAACAACTAAACTAACAAGAATTATTTATATGATTTACTAATTACAAAATCAAACTACCAAGTAAACTGTAACTAAGCTCTAATTTTAAAATTGACTTTTCACTGATGTTAACAACGTTGACTTTCTGTACTTACATTGACTCACTTTGACTCCTACGTAATTTTTATAATCGGTGACCTCGGATATAATAATATTTGATCTAACAATATGTTTTATTCATTCATGAAATACAAGATGTAGGTTGTGTTGAAGAGATGTAAAATCAATCTTGTTGTCAAATATATCGGCTTGAGAGATTAGCCCGACAATGTAGATACTAAACATTGTTCAAAAAGGCTAACCACAAAAGTCGCCATGGTGTGTCGTGGCTCAAGGCTTGTCTCACTCCATGTTAAGCCCGCGGCATGCCATGGCTTAATGCGCGGTTTTTGTAACCCAATAATTTATTTTACTCATCTTTTTAGTGTCTTATTTGTTATTTTTGAATATATATAACTTAATTTAAATTGTTTATTATCATTGATTCATTGAGTAATAGTAGATAACATATGCTTATGTATATTATAATATATATGATACTGAGATTTGCCGCCATAAGTCACACCTTGAAAAACGTCGTGACCTCGATTTGGCTTCCAAGAATTGAGGCTTGGCCTCTCTATTATATTGTTTAGTCTGCAACTACTTTGATATGGGTTTGGTTGATCGGGTTGAATGCATTTGAACAACCCGATCCAATTTTTGCAGTTTGAAAAATCACAACCCAAACCAAAGTGCAACCCAACCCAACCCAAACCGTAAGGATTGGTCGGGTTGATATTTTGGGACATCAGAATATTATCCTAACCTTAAACCTGTTGTTTTCTTTACTTATAATTATTTTTCATCATCAATCATTTGGTACAACTTATTCATATTGCTTAAATCTTAAGTATATCACATTCAACTACTTTTCTCAATTTGCATATCTAGGTTCACATTTACATAAGATATATACAAAGTAGTTATATAGAGATGGAGAAGGGATTAGGATTGAAAATATATGTATATGAATAGAGTACTGTGTGATTGTGTAACTTTCTAATTTATATATCAATATGGACTTGACAATTGTATTAAATCCAAGAAGTAAAAGGAAGTCGAGTTCATCAGGTTTCATTGGATTCAAATAATCATATATAACTCAACTCCAATTCAATACCTATGGTTTGAAGATTTTACAACTCAAACAGACATCAGGTTGCTTCAGGTTGAGTTATTCCGTTTTGACTTGGGTTGGATTGGCCAAGTTTGATCGGGTTTTTTAAGCACCCCTAGCCTGCAAGAAGCACTTTAATATGCTTAGAAATTTGGTTATTAATCATAGACAAAACCAAATAGAAGTTTCAAACTACAAAACCCGTCATCAAGTCAAACCATAGTAATACCACCATCAAGAAAGAACGTTTTAATCAACAAATTCCATCAATAAAACCTTACTACTAAACGAAAACATCCTCCGGCAAGTAAACGAATGCAGATCTGCAAAGCATTCAGAGCCAAGCAGTTCATCGTCACAAAACATATATAGCATGTTACAGAAAACAAAGTACAAATAACTCGATACATTCCTCTTCAACAGGCAAGGCCTTGTAAAATCAATAAGTGCCCACCCACAAAACCAGATCTTTGTAGTCGATGCATTGCTTGAAACGACCGTTAGAAATCCTGCATTCGGTTAAAATGGGCGAAGAGATTCAGATTTCTTATTCGTTTTTTCCTTGTCTTCTTTCCAGGCATGGATGCAAGATCAGATACCCAATTAGCTCGCCTTAACTCTCATCTACAATTGGGTTTTTGGGCTCAATAGTTTCAGAATTTGATTCAACTGTTTGAGTGGCATCAGCAGCCACACTGTTGCTTTCAATGGCAGGATGGTCTACTTGACCTTCAACTGTTTGAGTGGCATCAGCAGCCACACTGTTGCTTTCAATGGCAGGATGGTCTACATGACCTTCAACGGTGGGTTGTGAACTTACTTCTGAGGCATTGATTTGTGTGCTTGAATCATGACTTGGTTCGACTGCCATAGGTTCCTCAAGTTCCTGATGATCTGTTGTCTGCTGATTGTTTGTACTTTGTGCTGCTTCCGATGGTACATCCCTCTGTTCATTAGAAGATTCATCATTCACTTTAGCCGTTTCACTCGTATCAGCAACCTGGTTTGCTTCCTCAACCTGTGGCTCTGACTCGGCTTCGGCCATTTTTGTCTCTTCTTCATTTGCTGCTGCAGCCTCGGCCTCAGCCAGCTGGAGCATGCGTTGCTTTTCTGCCATTTCTTCTTGTATTTTTGCTTCTTGTCTATACTTCTCCATCAGATTGTAGATCCTTTCTTTCTCTACGAGCAGATCACCATATCGATTCTGTAAGGTTTTCTCTAATTCTTTTTGCTTTTGAACATCTTCCCAGATGCTATTAATACGGTTTGATGCTGCCAACTGTTCTTGTCTTTGTAATGCTTGAAAGCACTCATACTCTGTTCCAGCTGTGTCCATCTGCTTGAAGGTCGCCTCTACTTGTGACCATATTTTTGCAGCTCGCATCTGCGTACAATAATCCATTAGCAAGAACAGTTAAAAAAGTGTTCTGAAGAAATCTGTTGACTATTTGCATCACCATCATATGTGTTGAGTGGTCTTTTAGACAAAATTTTGTAGGAAGTGTGTCGAATTATTGCATTAGTTTTGGAAATATGCTTCAATACCTTTAGTTGCCTTCTCCAATTCTACTTCTAATAACATGAGTTTCAAAATGGCTGGCAAATATATATATGCATTTCAAAATAATGAAAGATCAAAAACAATAGACACAATATTGAATATACCTCATGGAAGATACAACTCGAAGTAAAAAAGGAATATTTGTTTCCCATATATTCAACAAATAAAATAACAAGAAGAGGAGGTTTGTGATAGTTTAAAGGCAAGTGTAGATATTATAATTCACTTCAACAAAAGAAACCAGTAACTAAATGAAGTCATTGAAGAAACAAAAACCGAGAATTTCTAGTTTCACCTGATAGCCGTTTGTAAGAAGCTTTATCTTTTGCTCAAGACGTTGTGCTTTCCTTGTATCATCGTCCATTCTCTTTTTCACATTCTCAAATTCCTCCTGGAATGCAGCAAGCTTCTCCATGTTTCCAGCAACGCTAGAGAGACCATACCCGTTGCGGGTGGGGAAGTACATAATGTCATTTAAGCATGTCCGGTGTGCTTCAATAAATTCATCAAGATCCTCGTCCTTATGGCCCATAGCCTCGCACAAGAATTTTGCCTCTTCTTTAATCATTTGATCAGCCTAGAGTACATAGTTCTTATATGTGAGGACATAAGCGCAAAATCCAACCAACTCATAATACACCAACAATTTGCATCACAACCAAAGTCCAAACTATTGAAATTCAATACGTGCAAATCATAAAGAAAAATGATGTGGTTCAAAAGTGCAGTACTACATATTTATTTGGTCTTATGCATTGGAAGCTGATATGCGGCTCGGGCTAATTCTATGTTGTCACTTTGGGATATGAAATAAGGACTACAGATATAACAAAAGGAAGTTTTTAATTAAGTAGTAAAAATTATGTAGAGGTGTACAAGGATTTAAAACTGAACATTTATCCTGTCGCTGTGAATTTATAAGGGAATTCATGTACTTAATAACAATGTGCCAAATATTTACCGGTTCAATTATGCCATTTCTCAGATTATCTGCTAAATGCACACTTCATCTTATTCTGATGTCACACAATTAGAACAAAAGGGTTAGTCAAAGCCCAAAAACAAGTACAAGTGACATCAGAGTAGAATGTATGTATGTATGTTATTTATCAGGTAATTTAGGCATAGTATGGAGCCAAACGCCTACAAAGATATACCATCAGAAAGATGAGGGGATGCTATATGTTCAAAGCAGCACCTCGATCACAAGGCACGACCTTGACATCTATTATTCAGAAGTGAACTATTAAACCTATAAGTTAAAGCATCATCTGCTTCCATGCACCACATCTAAAAGTACAACATTTTTTCCAAGAGATGACGGTTGCAATAAGCAAAAGCTGCAGGTTCCCATCCAGAGGAAAAAACTTCTGGTTCTAAACTTATGGTTTTAGTGCAACCAAAACTTATTATATTACCTAAAGAAAGAAAGAGTTCAAGTGACGACCAAGAAATGGACAACAATCAAATTTCTCTACATTTAACATTTTGCATAACTTGGGTATTGGGTCTAAGTTATGGGGTAGAACATGAGTATACAAGGCAAACTATTTTAAGTATATTGTTCAAGAAGTTACCTCTTTCAGTTCATCCTCATCAAATTCTTCTATGGCAGGGATGGAAACAGATTTTCCACCAGCACGCTTGCTTCCTTTCTTTTTATCCTTCTCCAGCTTCTCATCAAGAGGATACTTCACATTATCATGTTCCAGCAAGGACAAAAGCTCCTTTCTTATCATCTCATCAGCCTGTTCGATCAAAGTAGGAGGAACGAAAGAGCTCTTGTCTTCATCAGCTCTTATTAAAGAGTTCTTTATCAGGTCCAACGAGCCAACAGGAGGCCTAGGGAGCTCCCTTTGCAGTACTTTTGACCTTTTTTTAAGTAATGCCTGTTGCCTAGCTTCTTCTTCAGCCTTCTCCCTAGCCATCCTGTCAGACATATCCTCTTCTATCTTCGCCTCTTGTTCTTCATTATCTTCTGGAGCTGGTTGAACAACTATCTGATACTCATTTTTGGGCTGTGGAAGACCAGTCAAACCGGAACGCAAATTCCTTCTCATATCAGCTTGCCTCCGGAGCTCAAGTTTAGCACTATCATGCATTTCCATCTCTTCATTAATGTGTAGCTCATCCCTTATGGGAGTTCCTTTGGGAGTGACACCAAAAGCATGGCCATCTCTTGAAGGTGTCATTCCTATTCTGGGAGTAAGACTCACGCCACCAGGAGTTGCCGATGGTGTCAACATGGGGTTTGGTGTTTGAATATCCTTTTTCTTAGGAGTGACACCTGAAAAATCTGAAGGGTGCAAATCTGGATTTTCACCTCCAAGTAATGGTGTCTGAGATAGTCGTAACCTGGCCTGATTCTCTGCCTCCATCATAATAGCATCTTGCTTCCCTGCTGGAGTTCTCTGTGGGGTTCTTAATGGGGTCATTCCTTGACGAGGTGTTTGGGTATAATCAGCAAGGAGAGCACGAGTGGCACCACTTCCTTCTGAGAGTTCGTCAGTCAAAGCTGGAAGGCCGAATTTTGCAATATGCTCTAATTCATAATCTGGAATTTGTGGTGTGGGGAGATTCATTTTTGGCCTTTTTCTAACGGTCTCTGGATCATTCATCTTGTTGGCTTGAAGTATAGCCGATGGAGCATCCTGTCTTTGTGCAATTTTGTTCTTTGCAATGTCTTGCTTTCTCAATCGGGCCTCCTTATCAGCCCTTCTTTCACCTTCCAGTTCCTCAATGGTGGTTGGGAATTTAGGCTGTTCAACTATTGAACTTTCATCAGTCACATCATAAAAGCCAGGAGGAGGCCTCTTTTCAAAAGGGATCTCAGCATTGTAGTCAATCCCCTTCCTTTTCCTCTTCCTATGCCTATTATCAATTCCAGCTGCCTTAAGTTCTCTCCTCTTCTGCAAAGAAGCAAGCCTTCTAGCCTCTTCAAGCTGCTTCTCCCGGGCCTTCCTTTTTGCCTTTTTGCCTCTGGTATTTGCTAAACGAGCCCGTGCTTCTGAAAGCATTTCTTTTTCATCTTCATCCATATCAACAGGATCTGGCCGAGCAGGCTTTGATTCTGGGTTTGGATCAATCTCTCCAGGACGCAATTTCCGTGGATCATCACCAGGTTCATAATTTTCATCCTTTGCACAAGCTGCATCAAGGAGTTTTTCATAACGCTCAAGGCACTGAGACGGAGTACGGCCCACAATTGGAGCAATTGTTCTCCATTGAGTAGGCATTAGCTTAGCAAGATGAAGCAGCTTCTCATCTTCTTCTCTGGTCCACTCAGTCTGTCCAGATTTAAAAAGAGTCAGATTTTGTAAAGGACTTCCATATTGAAAAATTGATAAAGGAGGGGGTAAATGTAGAGCAAACAAATGATTTTCTGTTCATAGCAACACCAATGAAAATATGTATGATATGCAAATAATTTCCTCCGATCGGTTAATGAACAAATTTGCTTATTGAAAAAAGTCAAGAGTTAACGGTCAGTATCAATACCTTAGGTATGACAAACATGATATAGCCAATGTTCTTTTTGAAGTTAGGCGCTGTGTGGCGGCGAGGTCTAGCCTTAGGAGCCACAGCGTCTTTCAATGCATGACTTAAGGTGTGGCATGGCAAGGTCAAGCCTTAAGGCATTTTTCAACGCATGACACATAATATGCATATATATGTGCGCACATATATGTTTCTACTATTACTCAATGATATTGAATAACTTAAATTCATTTAAGAAAAAGAAAATTAATATATTGATATATTGATTATAGAGTTCACCAAAACATATAAAACTAGAAGTTAAAAAAAGTCAAAAAAACATGCAATGGGTGTTAAATGGGAAGTGAATGTTTTACCTCGCTGCCATGGCAAGCTTTTTAGATCATTGTACACATCATATATGAAACTAGCCTAACAAAAAAATACATAAAGCATGAAAAATAAGATCAGCCCTAAATTAACCCCAATTTATACATCTGGCGGGTAAGTTTCATACGAGTACAGAAACAATTTGTCCTTGTACATATCCCCTTTTGTCTCTACTTAACAAGGTATATCCTAATATGTCTATGGCACTTGATATAAAACCCACAACGTTTATTGTGTTTGATGTGAAAAAACATGCATCCTATGATTATTAACCAGATACGGGCACATATGAGTATATTTGAAAGATGTCATATAGCTTTCTGTGTTTATGGGAAAGAAATACTAGTGAGAAATTGGTATGAAAATTCAAGAACCTTTCACATGAAATCCATTACACCGTCGAAATGCAAAATTATTAATGAAAACAAATTTTCTAAAGCATATCTTGAAAATGACATCTTCGTGAAATAGAAAAAGCCGCCCCGTCTCGACCATCAATGAACTGATCGGATTAATCCCCCCTCTTTCAGTAATGAATCCATTGCTTCTCCCTCCAAACTGCATGAATTCTACTAATTTTGTATTTAATATTTTCACACAATGCAAGAATGAAGAGTTGAAGTTTTGAGCTAATTTTTGAGCTTCTAAATCAAATACAATACATTCCACCCAACATCTACAAGATTCCACCCCCTTGCCTCCCTCCACCTGCATCCCTCCCCTTCATAACCACCCCCTGCCACCCACAAACCTCCACAACAGACACACATATACACGCTCAATCAGATTTAAACACATACACCCTCAGATTCGCAAATATAGACACCACAGTAGATAACATACACTCTCTAGATTGTGGAGTTCAATAATAGTTTCTTAGGTCAAAAAGTTAGATTCACAAAAAGATAAAAGGGATAAAGGGAAAAATGCAAGAAACTTCTTTTAATTTTTTCATATGAATATTATTTTAAAACAGTTGCAAATCATGCAATTGTACTTGTATCCTAAGAGGCAGATTTGCATCTCAAACTGCAAATCTGAGGGAGACAATTATTCAGAACATCCATCATTGTCTACATCACCCTTCCTAGAGCATTAAAATGAAACAGAAGTTAACAACCGTGAGTTGTAGCATGTGAGTGAACATAGTGGTGCTTCTATCCAGAAGTTTTGCCTAGATCTGATATTCTTTTTTGTAATTACCCATCCAAATGGTTGCGCCATGCTACGTCTGAGTTAGTGGCTGGCGCAAGATTTGTGTAGAGTACGGTCACTATTATCTCAAGTTCTATAGAAAATTGTAAACTCTATTCAGATAAACGTATTATTTCCTAAAAATGAGTAAATCTCACCATTAGTAAGTAATATTCTAATATCTTCCTTAAAACTGCGTATCAAAAAGTCACCCTTCAAATAACATTGAAGACACTTCAAAAATTGAAGAAAGTTTGTAGATAGTTTGCACCCATGGAACAATTGGCAACCAGCAAAAGCTTTTCGAATATACAATGGTGATTCTCGACTTCAAAACACAAAAAGTTACATATTGCCACAGCATTTATAAAAATAAAAATTGTCAGCCATAAAATAGGGTTAAGTTGATCAAAAGTTGCTGTCCAAATATGTTTTCATTATGAATGTTTGTGATCAGGGTGTTAAGTTATTGGCTTATATGAAGGCGCTGTACTACCATAGCATAAACTAGAAAGGTTTAGCCAATGTATCCCGCGACATGCTTTCAGACTCTGGTTGGCATTGGCGAGAGAGTTGAACACCCAAGACCGCCTTCTATCCTGAAAATGAGACCAACCTGATATGGCATGCCCATTTTGTGAATTTTTTGAATACCTTCAAACTACAGCTAGGAAGAACTCAGCTTGGAGTATTGTAGGTCGTCTTGTATTTGCTGCTGTGGTTTACTACCTGTGGCAAGAGCAAAATGCTAAGCTGTTCAAAATGAATTCACGCCCTGCAGATACATTGGTACAAGCAATGTAGCAGATTATTCGGCTGAAGATAATGTCCTTCCCATAACCTCACAAAGGCAACCAGGAAGATGGCGGCACTATGGAAGATCCCTCTAAAGACATGCATGAAGATTGGAAATGGCTCTTGATGGTTCTCAATAACTGCTGCCATCTGGTTCTTGGCGCGTTGCTGCTTGCTTTTCCTCGTTGTTTATTTACTTTGCTTATATGTAGATTTGGATTGTAGTTCTATGGTTTGGAGCATGCTCCAACCATATTTGTTTAGGCTTGATGTCGTCCGACTGGATAGTATTTGAATAATTTCAGGCCTGTTCCAACCATTTTAGCTTCGACTTTGATTTTTGGTGCACTCCTGCCCAACGTTTGGGGCTGTCCTAGTAGGGTGAAAGGATATACTTGTTGATGGGAGTCCCACCTCAGGTTGTATCTTCAATATCCTATTAATAAAACTTTGCCAGAGGTTCCGCCTTCCTTTTAAAGAATATTCTCAATTTTCTTAGAATTTAAAGAACTTTCGGATGAAACAAAAGAACTGTGAGCACTCAAGGTTCCCTAGGTAGACATGAAATAGAATATTACACTACTATCCTATGTTGATGATCACGATTGGAGATGACTCATTATGTATTGTAGCTCAAAAGGTTTTTTTATTCAACACCACACAGTTAACACAGTCGATCGAGGACAGGACCTTTATTTTGCAACCGCGGTGGGAAAGCGGTAAAAAGTTAGGTTCATAAATTAAATACAAATACACATAAAATTGGTTTATTTTACAAACCATGTAATTCTTACAAACCAATCTTAGCCGTCCATCTAGTCTAATAAATATCTTATTCCAGTTTGTTTCCTAATATAAAACCATGATCATGATGAATGAACTTATCTAGGCCTCCGAACATTCGGTGAACCGTTCGTTAACCGTGGGACGGGAAGTTCATTTATTTAATAAACAAACGAACATGAACAAGTTCTTTTGTTCGTTTAGTTAAAGGAACGAACATGAACAAAGGTCTCATTCGTTCATTTGTGTTTGTGAATGCTTGTTCATTTATGTTAGTTTACTTATGTTCGTTTTTTATATGGCTGATGATAATAAATTAAAATTTAGATAATAATTATATATATTTGATCCCTCGAGTGATTCACCACTCACAAGTGGCTTGATCCTATGTGGCTTGAGCTCTAGTTCGTTCAAGTCTGTTCGTCCATGTTTGTTTATGTTCGTTCGTTTATGTTCATTTATGTTCGTTTAGCATCTTAACGAATGAACATAAACGAACACGAACACAACCATTTCTTAAACGAACGAACACGAAGGCAAGAATTTTGTTCGTTTACCATTCGTGTTTGTTCGTTTGTTCGGTTAAGTTAAACAAACGAACACGAATAAGCCTCCATTCGTGTTCGTTCGGTTCGTTTACATGCCTAAACTTATCATCTTCCATATATATATATATATATATATATATATATATATCAACATAATCAATGAATCATGATAATTTTCCATAAATATCTCGAATGTTTCCTAATATAAACATCGATAATGGTTTGTATGGTTTGTCATAATTACATGATTTGTAAAATAAACCACCTCTCTCTCTATATATATAACACTAAAAGAAAGAGTGCACAAGACTTGAAAAAAGAGTGCAGAGCAGCAGAAGTGAGAAGGCTGAACTCAATCGAGGACAGAAGTCGAGGAACAGCAAAAGTCATTCAATGGAGTCGAGTGGCTAGAGCCGGATGATTCTCATACTGTAATCAAGTGACTCTGTGACTGAACTACTGAAGTCGATCAATGGAGTTGAGGACTGAATCACTGAAGTCAAGCAATGGAGTTGAGAACCGAATCACCTAAGTCGAGCAATGGAGTCGAGCAATGTCGTGTTCCAAAACAAGGTGCTTGAAAACTTGCATGCCTTCTAGCCCAGATTAATAAGATAAAGGCCGACCTTGAGCGAACCCAGACAGATTTGAACGATGTGCAGATGTGCGGTGGCCAACAAAACGACAAATAACAACATTGTCCAAAGAGCACCGAGGTTAAACATAGTACCAGAGCCCAAAGTTACAATTTGATCAAGGGACGCAAAGAACATCCACAGTACAAACCACTACTTTGAGTCGCTCAACTTGAAAGAAAACATCAAAGCACAATTCCTTACTTTTATTGGATGGATGTCGCTTCTCTTTGGTGTACATGTCATAAGAAATATGCCAAAGTGCAAAGAGGTATCATGACCATTACATGGGACGCCTTCAAAGTAGAATTAATGAAGCAATTTACCCCATGGAACATCACCTATGAGAAGCTAAAACAAAATGAAGAAGCTACAACATGAGAAATCCATCCACTAGTACGTCAAGGATTTCTCAAATATCATGCTCCAAATGCTAAATACGAGTAACAAGGACTTTCTTTTCAACTTCAATGAACTGATTAAAACAATAGGTTGCCCAAGAGTTGCAACAATGTGAGGCCAAGAACAAATGCAGCACCCTTTCATTTGGAGGGGGCTTTCATAGAGTACCAACACAAGGCATTACCATGTCCCCCAAATCCTATGAGCATCACAGGGGTAGTCAACAAATGAGGGAAGCACAAGAAGTAAATAAAGCCAAATCTTATTTCTTATCTCAAGAACCATGGGTAAGGGATTGTCCAAAAAAAATGTGTTAAATGCAATGCTTGAGAAGTTCAGATTAAGAAGCACGGCCCCACCGAGACGATTACCACACCGCAATTGCTTCTTATGCAACAAGCCACAATGGCTTAATGATTGCCCAAAGAAACATAGGTTCCAAGAAATTATGGAAGGACTCCATGTAAAAGAAGAAAACAAGAGATGACTCGCTTGAGCTATGTTGTTATAGTGATCAAAATTCCAAATTGCAGTCACAACCATGATTTGATATAGTGATGCTAATTAAAAGTAAATATATATACATGTACAACTTAATATAGTATATGTACTGAACAAACGTATACAACTTCAACATCAATAAATCAAGTTCCACACAAACAAAATAGCAAAAAAGTATGTATAATTCATGAACCTGTTGACCATTAAAACAAAAGTTGTAGATTCAGAAGAGCAGTTGGTACACAAGTTGACTGTTATCCTCATGGAACGAAAGAACCAAAAGAAGCCTTGTTGTGGTCCTCGTGGAACCGTAGAGAAACCTAAAGAAGCTTGTTATGATCTCGTGGTGGTATTTGTAAAAACCAACCAAAAGTGAAAAGATTGTCATATTTAGCAAATAGCAGTATTAGCACCGCTATTCCGACTATTTTGAACCAAGTAGTGGCCGAATATCACTATTCTGATCGCTATTTTACCATCACTATTTATCCCAAGGCCGCTAAGACAGTGCGATTGACAGCATAGAACATGAGCAGAATGCAATGGTCGGGGACTATGACCATACATTATATGAAGCCGTCTAATATGCCAAACAATAAAACAAAAGAGGCAAATACTAAAAGATCTTGAAGACCAAATCATTATTCATGAGAAAACAATGTTAATCAAGTGGAAAAGAATGTCATGAATCAAGATTTTTGAGTCTGAACGCCACCATGCACATGTCAAACGGACTAGCATTTTCCAAGAAAAACTCGGAGATTCTAGAATAATATAAAATTCTCTACAATATACTAGTTTTTCTCTCGTATCACGTTAAATGCTAAATGCTTTGGATACCAAAAAATGGTATAAGTGATGAAAACCTAGAACTTTCTTGGTCTAAATGTTTCCTTAGAGAATAGAACCCCTATGAAAGAAAAAAATCTCCTTGCTTCTAATCAGCACATAAAACAATCAAGTACTTGAGAGGGAATTAACTACAAAGTGTCCCTTTGACCTTGTTGTGTGCTCCCGATATCCGTGTTCCCTCTTAGGCTTTCTTAGAGCAATCGAATATAAATTGTGATTGCTAAAGCCACACAGAGCATGGGAATAATGAAGTTTGTGACACTAGAATCTCTGAAGAGATGTTATTCTACCAATTCCGCTAGACGAACGAAGAAGGCATAACCTTGACATTAGGGGTGCACAAAAACCCGAGTAACCCGGCCAACACAACCCGAAATAACCCAATCTGACCCAAAGCGTGTCTATACTTAATCGAGTTGTAAAATCTTCAAGCTCTAGGTATTGGATTGGAATTAGGTTAGGGCCATTTGAACACAACCCAACCCAATGTCTTTTTATACCATGAATTTAATATGATTGTTAACTCATTAATTAATAACGTAGATGAGATATTAGACCAACTCTATTCATAATTATATCACGATCTCAATCGTAATTTTACATTTTTATTTGCATGAACCTTCAACTTTCTTTTTGAGTTTATTAGTCTTATTTGTATGTTCTCATTATGACTTTACTTCGTTTAAACACAATCACTTGGCTAGATTGTAACATGATACATCAAGGTTTCAACCCAACCAACCTGCACGATTTGGGTTGGGTTGTACTTTTTTTTGGGTTGGGTTGGAATGAGATTTTTAAACCGACCAACCCATGTACAGTCCTACATGATATCTTATAAGAAAAGGCTAGCAAGAGAAATGAATAGTAGGTCCTCTTCTTATTCCAAATGCCAAACTTTATCAAAGTAATGGTGACTTGATGATCTAAAAAGATACGTGAGACTTGTAGGATTGAAGCATCTTAAAATTATTAGACATGGTAATCCCTTTCCAGTAGACATGATAAGCTAGCGATTAAGTAGCAAAAACATCTTCAACAAGTTAAGAATGATATATATGTATGCTCCAACATGAAAAAGATTGTTAGCAACATAAGACACTACACACATGTATAATTAATACATGTTTTACATGGCTTGTTCAACCCATGGCCTACTATTGAACAGTATTTAAGCAACGCTTGCTTACTAAAACTTTCCAAAAAACCTAGTTTTCATAATGACAATGTTTTTCTTTTTATATATGCAATCATTTGTGAATGGTGGTAATTGTAAAATACTAACAATTTAAAACTAGTATAAATAAAAAAAATAGGAATGAGATATAGACGAAGATAGAGGTTCTCGATGCATAATTCAATTGCACAACCGTACACTAACTTGTGATAACTTATGTGGCTCTCTCGCTCAAATAAGAAAAAGAAAAATATAAACCTTTAAAAAGCCTCATGTTACAAAGATTCAAATTTTGTTTCAATGAACATGTCAACTTTACAAATTATTGATTTGTCATTGTAGTTACTAGTCAGAAAAAATATTAATAAGACTATAACAGCATTCATGTAGAAGACCAAAGCATCCATCTTAAATGGTTGTCAAATATGAGTGAATCTCAGTCCAAACGTAACTTTAAGATAGCAAATTATCAACCAACATTGTCCATATATCACAGTTCACATGTTTTAATCAATGCTTTTGTAGAACAACCTAATAAACAAAATATAATCCATATTCCTAAACTTCCACACTAGTCCACACCTCTGCTTACCACGATCATACCAAAATATTCAACCAATTGAATATTAACAATAGCTTAGTGGCCCTAGAAAGCTACCTAGTCATATCTAAACTAGAAATGAAGCACGCCTTACAGCATTAATGACGCAAATCTTTTATAGATATACGTTATCCTTGTCGTCCTAGTCAATTAGCAACTACACCATATGATAGCTAATAGAACAAACCCTGTCATCATTCTCATGAGAATATCATGCTTTATAGTAGTATTTTGATGTACAATTGTTAACATGCAAAGCCTTGTTGCTTTAGATATACTCTTTGTTTCGCACAACAAAAGGGTACACTTGACTTTTAAGATTAAAGCTTTGGTCGTTCAAATTTGACATCGACAAGGATTGGCATTAACAATTCAATACCATCTTTCCATTTCTAGTATGCAATGAAATCCAAAGTATTGTGACATATTTTAGAACATTTAGAATTTTAAGAATCAATTTCCAATTATAAACTAACATATTTGACATTTTGGGCTCATGATTGGAAATATACCATTGTCCGTGAGAGAAAACTATCCCGTTCCAAGTTTATCTAGCATATCAACATCTTTTGGAGGGTCCAATTTTCCCTATCTATGCATATCTCCTAATATTACAGTAAGTTTCGGACTTCTAATCTAAACGTTGTTACTTTTCAAATTTGAAGAGATCTATTGTCCACCATTTTGACACCAAAAGATTTATGGTATTTGTTATAGAGTCCATAGAATTCATATGCTATTTAAAGTTGAATATTATTATGGTAAACACCATAACTGTTTTTTCTTCCACGAAAGTATCAATATGATGAAACATTCAAAGTTCCTAGCTACGATGCACACTGAACTAAATTCAAAAGCCAGTTTAACCCTACAACAAAATACGTGATTTTACTATACTATTCCATGAAGCACGAGAAATCTGAACTTGTAAAAAGTAACAAAGATAGCAATTCTAAATTGAGGGGACAGAGAGATACTTACCTTTTTAATAGAAGGATCGAGCCACTCGTACCACCGAGCTTTACACTGTTTAGCCGATTTGCGAACAAGTAAGGAAGAGATACGAGCCCATTGGTTCTTACCATACTTCATAACAGCAGCCTTGAGGATCTCATCCTCGGTGTTCTTCCAAACACCTCCCTTTATCATAATCCTCATCTTCGCTGCTCAGATTTTATCACCCCTTTTTTCTTTCTTGTTCTTTTAGGTTTTGATGATGAAACCAAAACTCTGGATTGTTGAAGGATTTGAAGAAAAACCCTAATTTCTGTGGATCTGAATCGATGACCTTCGACTTTAATCTCTCCTGATGATCCTCCCTCCCTCCCGCCGAGGGTCGATTATTTTTGGGTTATTGTTGGTGGCGACTGGCGAGGGTTTCTTCGATGGTTGGGCTTCTTGCAGAAAATACATTCCCAACGGGCCCAAACTATATAAGATATATGTTTCCTCTCAACAATTTAACTCATTAAAAATCCAGTTATTTAATAAGAGGTTAAGGGGGTCGTTTACCAAACACTTATCCGGTAAGTGCTTAGCGGTAAACATAACACTATCATTTACTTACTGAATAAGATTTTGGTCCACCAAAACGGTATTGTATGCAACAATTTACTCGGTAAGCGCTTATCATGATAAGAGTCGTCGCTCTCACTTACTGGGTAAGACTCTTGGTCATTGTCTTACTCTTACCGGGTAAGATTTTTAATCCTTACCATATTCATCCGGTAAGGTAAAATGACATTGATGTTCACTTACCCGAGTAAGCGTTTGGTAAATGGCCCCTAAATTATTTTATCAGATAAACATAATAATGATTGAGAATTTTACTGATAGAAGGAAAAACAAGGATCAAGAATCCTACACAGTAAACATTTACCGGATTAAAAATGTTTACCGGCAATCCAATTGGATAGTTGGGAATATTATATTACCCCATAAAGTAAATTAGAATGTGAATCTTGTAGGTGAACATTTATATTATAATTGTTTGGTAAACGGACCATTAATTATTATGTATTAAATTATACATAACTGTTTAATTATTTTGAGTTTTTCTTCATCATAAGTGTTCTAACACTAAAGGAGAGTTGCGCATCATTTCATATATCGGTGTTTGGGATTGACGAAGGTATCTATACGTACTAATTTTGTTGGCAAATATGGGATGATTTTGTCTTAAAGAGAGAGATCTAAATCTCGACTCAACGTTCAATTTATTTGTTCTTTAGCGTGTGTGTGTATGTTTCGTTACTTTGTTTTACATATGTTATGTTTACGTTTTTTATGAAGTTCTTCTATACATGAATATATATATATATATATAGAGAGAGAGAGAGAGAGAGGGATGTGAGTTATTTTGCAATCCTTTAGATTTGTACAACCCAATCTCAACCGTTTATTTAATTTGATGAATATGTGATTTCATAAAAGTTTTGATTGTTTCTTAATATAAAATATTGATCATAATTAATGAGTTATAGTCATCTTCCATAAATATTCAAATCATAATAAATGAACTCTCATCACTTTCATAAATATCTCAATTGATTGGGTTGCATTGGTTGTACATAGGGGTGTAAATGATACAAGACAACTCGCGAGCTACTCGAGATCGACTCGGTCAAAACTCGGTCAACACTCGACTCGAATAGGCTCGGCTCGAACTCGAGCTCGTCTCGATATATTAACGAGTCAAGTCAAGCTACACAGTACTCGACTCGAAAAGCTCGTGAGATACTCGATTATTTTATATATAATTAGTTT